GGTGGGTTATGCAGGGCTTTGTAAACTCTGTTGAGTTTGGATTTCACCGTGAGGGCATTAATGACTCACTGAAGGTTTTGAGCCAGAAAATGATGTAGAGGGCCCAAGAACACCGAGTCCAGTGTGCAGGACACTGCAGCAGTGGGGCCAGAAGTGAGGGCAACCTGCTGACTGGACAGAGACTGAGAAGGAAATGGCAGGACACATAGGGAGACGGGAGAGTTAGGGTGGACGGCGGATTTCCAGCCTGGGCAACTGGGTGGACCAACAGTGTGGATCTTTAATCTCTAAGATTGGAACTTGACTTCAGTTTGGGACAGGGTCAGTTGGAGTTGCCTGAGAGGTGGGTAGGTGAACATGCCCAGAAGGCAGATGTACAGGATAAGGGGTCTGATGCCCAGGAAAAAGGTTTGGGCAGAGTGTCTTCCCAGAAACCTGCCTTGCAGTTCAGTTGCTGATTTCACTAAACTCTTCCGGCCACATCTAATGAAGTTGATGTGCCCAACTAGAGTTGCCCAGACCTTTCTCTACCTTAGAGAGATGTGGGAGGGATTGCTGTCCCAGGGGAAAACAGATCTGAGTGGCTCTTCCCAGGGCTAGCTCCAGGTGTGGAAGTTGACACCAATCTGTCTCACTCCATGAGTGTGATGGGCCTGTGTTATAGGAGTCCTAACCAGTGACCAGGACACACTCTCCACTCTCTCTCCTTGCCAACCCCCAACCCCCAACAGAATGGGACCCAAGCCATGGCAACTCTACCTCCTAACTACCTCACATATCTCTTTCCTTCTCCTATCCCCTTCCACGTTGTGGGTCAAAGCCTCATGGTTTCTCATCTCCACCACCCCAGGGTCCTCCCAGTGGATCTCCCTGCCAGCAGCTTTGCTTTGCTCTAGTCTCTTCTTCACTTACAACCAGAGTAGGTTTGCTCAAACACAAATTTGAATATCATCGTCTTTCTTCAAATTCTTCAGTGAGTCTCCATGCCACGCAAGATGCATCCTTACCACACTCCTCACTCTCATCTCCAGCTCAATAAGCCCCTTGAGAACAGCAGGGCCTCCTTTCTCCCTGCCTGGGTGCATTTGCTAGCCATGCCTGGCAAGCTCCGTCCCACTGGCCACATCTAACTCCTATCTCATTGCTTTCTGGGAGCTTTGGCCTCTCCTCTGTGCCCTCCGCAGAGTCCTGGTGAGCCTCTACTAACACCTGAGGGACACTGTGTCTGCACAATTTTCCTGTGACCTCAGGGTTTGTGGCATGGCCTGCTGGGTCCCCATTCCTGCACCACCAAAGAACAATAACAGCTGCACAGCTCCACACATATTTAGAGGAACTGAGGATATAAGACTGGGCTTTGAGACCTCACAAATCCCCACACCCTCTGCCCTACTCTGCATCTCACCCATTTCTACAAAACATACTGACTTGTGTCCCTCAAATGCTATGTATGGACCTTGCATGGGTCCTGACAAAAATAAACCAATGGCAAAGAAATTTTTATGAGACAATTGAGGAAATTTGCATGCAGTTATTTGACAAAATTAAAAAATATAAATTTTTAGTGTTATAGTAGAATAAAATTATGACGTCTAGAAAATAAGCACTTACATTTTAAAGAAACATACTAAAGTGTACCTCCAGCAATACTAAAATGCATATGCACGGTGTTCTTCATTGCAGCATTGTTTGTAATTCCAAAACATTAGAAACAACCTAAATGTCCACACATATAAGAGTGCTTGCAGGCCAGGCACGGTGACTCACACCTGTAATCCCAGCACTTTGGGAGGCTGAGGTGGGCGGATCGTGAGGTCAGGAGTTCGAGACCAGCCTGGCCAATATGGCGAAACCCTATCTCTAATAAAAATACAAAAATTAGCCAGACATGGTGGTGTGCACCTGTAGTCCCAGCTACTTGGAATGCTGAGGCAGAAGAATTGCCTGAACCTGGGAGGCGGAGGTTGCGGACAGCGGAGATCATGCCACTGGACTCCAGCCTGGGCTACAGAGCAAGACTCCGTCTCAAAAAAATGAGTAAATAAATAAAGAGTGCTTGCATAAACTATGATGCATTCATATGGTGGAGTCTTTTGCAACTGTAGAAAAATAAACGAAGACATCTATGAACTTAGATGGAGGTGATTTCCAGAATTTATCATTAAGTGTGTGTGTGCGTGTGTGTGTGGAGGGAGAGGCAACAACCACACAAAACAAGGTGCGAAAGAGTATTATAGTATGCTGCCCTTTATGTGAGAAAGAAAGGGTTATAAGAAAATATGTACTTGAGCAAAAGAAAAACAAAAGGGGAAAGTTAGAAATTAGTGAGATTGGTTATCTACAGGGGGATGAGTGAGAAAAGGGTGGGAAAAAGAGGGACTAGGAATGGGGAATTAGGGACAGAGAGGGACAGTGTCTCCAAAGACAGTTTTTCATTTAACTCTGGCTCTTAGAATCATGGTGAAGTTCTGCATACCGGAAAACTAAGTAATTAATTGAAACCAACCAGGATGTAAGGAAACCCCAAAGTGGAATATACAAACACTAACAACCTAACAGCATTTCAAATGAATAGATAACCAAACTGAAGGAGGTGGGAGGGGGAAAGAACTGACCTAAATAACCATAGAAAACAGCATTTTGACTGGATATTGTAAGGCTCAAGACCAAAAAAAAAAAAAAAAAAAAATACAGAAAGAAAGAAAAATACTGTATTCTTGTTAGTAGATTTGTTTTTCACAGAGGTATGCATTGGCAATTCTGCAGCTATTTTATGTGTACTAGGATTAAACGAATATGCAAATATTGTATATTTTAGATAATCATAGCCAGGTTTCTCACTTGTCAGAGAAGTTATAAATAAGGAAAGGAGATGGCTAAATGAATCTATTGAACTGAAATAGTAGGTATCAGTATGAACTCATTTTTAAATCATATTTATACAGGTAGATATATAAATACCTACAGAAGTGTATGTATGTGTGGGTTAATATACATGCATATATTTCCCACTGGGGAGAGCCTAGAAGCATTGAAAACCCAGAAGCAATGAGTACACATAGTTCCGAGATCCTAGTTTTGAAATACCTTCCCCAGTAAAAGGAAACAAGGATCTTTGGCTGACTTCAAGGCTGGGACACAGACAATACAAGATAAGCCTGGAACATCTTTGGCACAGAAAGTATCTGGAAATACTCACAATAAGAGAGGAGATTTGTCATAAAAGACACAGAAGCCAATCTGAAGGAGCTCCTACAGGCTAAAGCTTTATTTGAGCAATAAAATAGATATTGACGGTATTAGATTATAACCTTTAGAATAAAATATCTATAAATCTGTACTAAGAAAATAATTGAATGAATGGAAGGATAAATAAAGGAGAAGAGACAACTTTTCTTTACAGAAGAATTCCAATTATTAAATGTAGGTGGAAAGAGGGAAATAGAAAGTCACTATCAGATACACATTATAGTAATATTGGCTGCATGCAAGATCCATAATGGATGCTCAAGTTAGTGAGCAGAAGCTTATTTTGAAACTGAATATTTTTATAGTCACAAAGTATCTTCCACAAGATATTTATGAATTCCAAAGGGATAAATAGTAATATTACAGTTGATGAACCTGGCAGACACTACTTTAATCAAGGGATTAAGGCTAAGATCACAATGAGTAAGACATACTATGTCTTGGATATGAAATTATGTGTGGAAATGATAAGCTGAGACTGGAACAACTGCTGTGACATTTTGCAAAAACTGTGTGTCGTCAATTGAGTCATGAGAAAACATCAGATAGACCCAAATTGAGGTACATTCCACGAAATAATTGACCATTACTCTTCAAAAGTGCCGCCATCATGAAAGACAAGAAAAGACTGAGGAACTGCCGTAGATTGGAGGTAACATTGGAGATGTGACAATGAAATGCAGTGCTGGGGTCCTGGATGGGATCCTGGGCTAGAAAAAAGATACTGATTGGAAAACTGGTGAAATTCAAGTAAGGCCTGGAGTTTAGTCAATAGTGCATCAATGTTAAATTCCTGGTTTCGATCATTGTACTATGGTTACATAAGATGGTAACATTAGAGGATGCTGGGTGAGGGGTATTTGGGAAACTTGTACTAGTTTTGCAATTTTTCTGCTACATAAACAACTCCCCCCCACAAAAGTCTAAAAGATACACATTAGATTATGGAGGAAAAAACTAAGTCTGATATTTGCTTCAAATATTGTCAATAATTGTTGAAGCAAGGTGATGGGTACATCAAGGCTTTGTAGTGTTCTTTCTAGATTTATGTATGTCAGACAATTTCCTTTAGAAAAATAGAAATTACATATACATGTATTAAGCCCTTTCTATATGCCAGGCACTGTGGTTAGCCATGGGGACTTGGCTAACAACCAGGACTTGAGGCCCTGCCTCAAGGAGCTCACAGTCAACAGAGGGAAAGCAGACATGACACGCAGGGAGTGTAGAAAGAGTGATGTGATAGAGGAAGCACAGGATGCCTGGGAGCAGGCGAGAAAAGAGTGAGCCAAACAGAAGAAACAGCATGCAGAGCCTTGGGCTAGGGAGAAAGGCTAGCTTGTACTTCATAGAGAAAAATCTGCAAATGACCTCAGGGAATGCAGCTGAGGTCTTTTGTCTGCCCAGGGCAAGGACAACTCAGCCAGATTCTTTGGGCCTATAAAACTTTGTGACATTATTTGTAATTTAGTCTTTTTAAACAAATTTAGAAGGCAATCTCTCTATGCTCTTTATCAAATCTCCCTATCCTCTTTCCTGTCATCACCCTCTTATGACACTTTCCTCCTCTCTCCACAATGTTTAATCATCTGTCATAAAGCTGCAGCCTATTTAACCAGATCCTCCTTAAGCAGTGTTTACAGGATACTGGTCCCCAGTGACCTTCTGAGGCAGCCAAATAGATCTGAAATCTTGTTGTGCTTTTATGGATAGCCTTGAAATTAATTGCTGTCATTTTCTTCCTAGCAGAGCTTGGAACTCTGGAGACTAAAGTGGTGTGGGCGTGGCCGCTCCCAACTAGACTCCACCCTCTTCAGAAGGCAGTTGTCATAGTATTAAAACCGCTAACATACACATCAGGAGGTGGCCTTGAGAAGCTGAGCGGAGACCAGCTGGACTTTAATCAGGTTAGTATTGACCTTAAAACTCTTCATAAATGTTCTCATGTCTACTTCACTAAGGAAAAACAATTTTAAATGTGTTAGTTTGTGTGAGTACTTTATGTCCTTGCTGCTTTTGTGTGTGCTTAGGAGACAACTTAAGCATTGTTGTTAGCTCCTGAAGGACATGTCGGTAAAGAAAAATAATATTCAATGATTAGAAAACAAGGGCAAAGAATTTGATGATATGAGAAAAGTGAGAATGGTATCATTGTGGGCAATCTGAAGATACAACCACATCGGTGACAGGCGACATGCTGCAGCTTGCTTATGGTAAAGTTGTTTATTAAAAACATGTATTCATGTGATTCATACAGGAGTCAACACACAATTATACTAGATTTAAAGTTGGCAGGGTCACACATGTGGGAGCACCACTTGATCAGTGAAAAGAAAATACATCTGGATGGTTGTATTCCTCTAGAACTGGTACTTCCAAATGGGTAACCAATCATCAATGCTTGCCAATCAGAATCTAAATTTACACTTCCATCATTGATTTTACACAGATTAGTTTATTGCTCATACAAGTGACTTTGTGACTGAGCACCAAGTAGCATGCTATTTTTCCTTCTTCTTCTCCTCCTTCTTCCCTCCTTCTCTTTGTTCTCTTTGCCCTCTTTCTTCTTCCTCCCCCTCTTTTTCCTCTGCCGCCTCTTCTTCTTCCACATCCTCCTCCTTCTTGTTCAGCATATCTGGGACCAAAGGGCAAACAGGGTTTAAAGTCTCAAAATTGCAAGTGAATCTAAATATATAGGACTTTTAGGGTAGTAGGCAAGTGGATCTAAGAACAGTAATAACCCCCTCTTAAGCTGTTATATTCCCTGTCCAACAGAATATGTAAAGTCCTTCTATGTGCAAGTTCTTCCTATCTGCCAAATTAAATATTACCCTGGGCTACCCTGCCAAAGCACTTACTCAATTTTTTAAAGTAATTTTTTGTGTAGTCATGATGTTTCTACTATGTGGGAGAGTTTGGTTGCTTTGATCATTCTTTTTAAACAGCAGATTGGTGGGTTTCATAATCAGGATTGGTTATTTTATTGCCATAATCCTAGCTTGTTTTTTTTTTTTTTTTCCCCACACTTTTTGTTTGTCAATTTTGAGACAGTCTCGTTCTGTCACCCAGAGTGGAGTGCAGTGATGTGACCATGGTTCACTGCAGCCTTAACATCTTGGGCTCAAGTGATCTTCCTGCCTCAGCCTCCTGAGTATCTGGGACTACAGGTGTGGAACACCAATCCTGGCTAATTTTTTTGTTTTAAATAGAGACTTTATTTAATTGCCCAGGCCAGTCCTGAACTCCTGAGCTCAAAGCAATCTTCCTTCCTCAGCCTTCCGAAGTGCTGGGATTATAAGTTTGGGCCACCATGCCCAGCCCTGGTTTGTTTTTTAATTACTCTATACACTGTATTCTAAAACAGCGACCCCTATGAGGCAAATGCGAAAAAAAAAAAAAAAAGGATTGCTCTTGAGATATCTAGCCATGTTATATCCTATGAAGCACGGACTGAACTTTGAGCAATGCGCTACACTGTGCTTAAAGACGATGACAACTTCTCTGCTTCCCAGGAGCTCACAGTTTGAGGGGTGGGGGACACAAAAATGGTAACTTCCGCAGGCTGTAAATATTCTATCATAAGTCATAACAGGAAGAAACTAGTCTGAATGTCAGAAGACCTAGGTTCTAATCCAGACTTTAACACTAACTAGCTAGTTGGCAAATTGCACAAACCTGGAGGAAGGGCTAGCTAGATCCCTTCTATCTCTATAATTTGGGAAGTCTTGAGGGGAGAGCTAGATATATCAATAGAACATACAGTTTTTATAAGGCACATGAAGTCACCAAACAGGTTGGAACATAATACAAGTTAGTAGTGCCTGGAATAATTACCAACATAAAAATAAATAAATGAAAACAAAGGTCTTACACAGGAAAGCCTCAGAATCTCAGAGGGACCCTGTGAAGTCACATTGGTGTTGGACCTGTCTAGTGCAAACGGAATTCACAGGTGAAAACAATCCTGCTAAGAAGAAGGAAGACACTCCTGTTGTTCCACCATATATATACTATACTAGCATGCATTTTGCTTCTCTAGACTCATTCATTCATCCATTCATGCGTTCATTCATTCATTTTAGAGAAACCAAGAGACTGTTACCATGGCGGGGAAGCCCAAGCTTCACTACTTCAATGGACGGGGCAGAATGGAGCCCATCCGGTGGCTCTTGGCTGCAGCTGGAGTGGAGGTATGTTCTGAGTTAGGTCATCTTAAGTTGGACCTAATTGATTGTATCAAAATGTTTTAGTAAGCCAAGAGACTTCCATACTAGTGACCTGTGAATATTTTGGCCTCCAATAAAAACATCCCCAGTTATTTTTTTTAAAATGGACAAATTTTACCAAATGAAATTTTAAAAATCTGTCCATCAAAGAGCACATGAAAAAGAAGACATGAACAATGAAAATATATTTTGAAAAGAATCATCAACTAATCACAATGAGTGGACCTTATTTGCATTAGGGTTTAAACAAACTATAAAATATAACTTATGACACATAACAATCAGGAACCTGAATATTGATTGAATATTAGATAATATTAAAGAATTATTGTTAAATTTTTAGTGTGATTTTGTGATGTTAGGTATGATGTTTCTGTTATGTTTCAGAGATACACACTAAAGTATTTAGGATGAGGTAATATGATGCCTCAGATTTGTTTCATATTATGACTAGAGGAGGAGAGAAGCTGGGCATACAAATGAAAGACTGGCTTGGGTTGGGGATTATTGCAGCTAGATGATTGAAACAAAGAGGACTGTTGTATTTTATGTGTATTTTATATACATATGAGAAATTTATACAATAAAATGGTAAGCACATAAGAAACTAAGTGTCATTAAACATAAACTATAAATCACAATAAAGGCAGGGAGGGAGTGGATTGTAACAAACTGCCTGTTAAAGACTGAGCATATTCAGTCAGCAGTTATTTTGTTGTGCACCTACTAAGTGCCAAGTTCTGTCTTGAGGACTGACAGTGAAAAAGGCAGACACAATTCCTGCCCTGAGGCAGACCACATACATGTTTACGAGGACTCAGATAAGTAAACAGGTGATTAAAATCAGGAGTGGGGGCTTCTAGAACACCCAAGCATTCCCCAGTGCTACCAGGCCATCCTTCCAGTGTTTGAGCAGGAAATGCTGGGAGGTGTCTGTGGGACTCCGCTAAGTGCTGCCCTCTAGAGGTGTCACTGAGAAAAACACTTCCCAGTCCCGACAAGAGTCCCTCAGTAACTGCCTGAGGGTTTTCCTCCAGAGAAAGTAATGGAAAAACTCAGAAGATCTTGTCCCTCGGGTGTCAGCAGAAAAGGAGGGTTTCAGGTGAGGTGGAACTTCTAGCACACCCCTTCAGCTTCACAGCGCCACGTGGACCTGAACCTTGGGATGGCGCTTTCTCCATTGCTTCACGAGGGCTTCAAACTTTAGCCTCACCCTTTCTCAATCCGATGAGGAAACAAGCACATAAGAAATCCAAACACTGCCATTCCAGGTTGTTTTCTTTGTACAAATGAATACGCTGTTTCACTGTCACCCAGACATCAGTTCTGCAGCTCAGTGCCTTTTCTCCAGTGATGTTCCCTCCCTAATCATGGACATTTGTGAGACCGTGGGGAGGTGAAGTGAACTAAAAGACGGAGCAGGCCAGGAGCAGTGGGTCACACCTTTAATCCTAGCACTTTGGGAGGCCGATGGGGGAGGATTGCTTGAACCCAGGAGTTCAAAATGAGTCTAGACCCCATAGTGAGACCCCAGCACTACAAAATAGAAATAAAAAATTAGCTGGATGTGATGGTGCATAAATATCGTCCCAGCTACTCAGGTGGCTGAGGTGGGAGGGTCACTTGGGCCTGGTAGATCAAGGCTGCAATGAGCCGTGATCACACCACTGTACTCAAGCCTGGGCGACAAAGTAAGACTTGGTCTCAAAATAAATAAATAAATGAAAAAGAAGATTGAGCAGTTATATGGTCTGACTCATGCCTGTTTCTTGAGGGATCTAATCTAAATTTCCAAGCAGCCATGACGAACTTCTTCTGTATCCCCTGCCAAACTCAGACATCTTATGTTCTCCAAATTATGTACCAGATGGGGGCCATTCAAGGTCACAAGTCTATAATGCTATGGAACGAACTAACAAGAACCCATTTACTGTTTCTGCTTCCAGTTTGAAGAGAAATTTATAGAATCTGCAGAAGATTTGGAAAAGTTAAGAAATGGTAAGATCAAGTCTCTAAGTGCCTCTGATGAGGGTATCTGGTATCTAGTAGAGAAGGTACAGTTGAAGATTTTTTTGTTTGTTTGTTTGAGACAGAGACTGGCTCTGTTGCCCAGGCTGGAGTGCAGTGGCGCGATCTCGGCTCACTGCAAGCTCTGCCTCCCGGGTTCGTGCCATTCTCCTGCCTCAGCCTCCCGAGTAACTGGGACTACAGGCGCCCGACACCATGCCAGGCTAGTTTTTTATTTTTTATTATTTTTTATTTTTTTTAGTAGAGACAGGGTTCCACCGTGTTAGCCAGGATGGTCTCTATCTCCTGACCTCGTGATCTGCCTGCCTCGGCCTCCCAAAGTGCTGGGATTACAGGCGTGAGCCACTGCGCCTGGCCATAGTTGAAGATTTTAACACCAGGTGATGCCTATGTGTGTGTAGGGTGGTAGTTGCGTTGGTGGAGAGGGAGAAAGTGGTTAAAGTGGAAGGGATGTGGCTCCCTGAACAGATCTGGTAACTCTCTCCAGGCTAAAAGGCCAGACCTCTCAGAGTATTTGCTAGAGGAACCACTCCCAGTGCCCTGAGAATGCCCTTTCCTTGTTTTCATGCTTGGGGCACCGTGAATGAGCTGTGCTCATCAGCTCAGGATCCCACACAGACTTCCCCATCCAAGGACACACAAGAACATTAATAAGACGAAAAGAATAGAAATAGATGTGGCCATTACCTTGAGTTGTTTTCTTTCATGGGTCATGTGACAAGGTCATATTGTAGTAATATTGTAGGCTTGGAACAACACAGAAAGGGACCTCTACATAAAATCGTGTCTCAGAACCTACTTTAAAGGCCATGGATACCGTGAGACTTACCCTGGGAAGTTCTCATTTTAAATGACATCTTCCTGGCACTCCCATTGTAACCTGTCTCAACTTTTTCCTAAAATATCATGAAGATAAATCAACGCAAGAAAAATACAAGGGACCTACTATGTACCTGGATGGGGAATAAAAGCATAGATGTAATAACAGGCTAAGAGGTAAAAGGAATCAGATCGGAAAAAGAACTACAGGCAGCTAAAATCAAAATACTATTTCATTTTGGAGGTTAATAGGCAATAATTTCTTTTTCATTTTATAACCTCAGTCATTTCAACTATCGTCTTCTATTTCTGAAATAGTGGGATTCATAGAAATTTCATGCTCCTTTTTTTTTTCCTTCTTTCTAAAGATGGGAGTTTGATGTTCCAGCAAGTACCAATGGTTGAGATTGATGGGATGAAGCTGGTGCAGACCAGAGCCATTCTCAACTACATTGCCAGTAAATACAACCTCTACGGGAAAGACATAAAGGAGAGAGCCCTGTACGGTATATTTTCTGTTCTTCCATCCACAGCGAACACAGAGTGATTTAGGTCCTTCCCTGAGTGGGTGGGACCATGGCAGGGCATCATGACTAGCAGGAGGCTGGGCCTTGGGCATACATACTAAGGTCCAGTATTGCAGAGTCCCATGGAGATGAGGGAACAGTGGACATGGGGAGGGTTCAGGCAAGGGTGATTCTAGAAGATGATGCAGACCATGGATCCAGCACCCTGACAAAGGTTTCCAAACACTCATAAACCCTATGAACTGAGGGGGATGGGGAATCATGATTCCAGGTGGTCAGGCCTTCAGAGGCTGGACTCCAGCCAACAGCTTAGGACAGGCATAGAATGTTTGAGAGTCTGTAGATGAAGGCCTGGGGAGGGAAGATTGCAAAGAAGCTGAATATCAGGTCCCAGTTATTCCAAGAATGATGACCAGGAACCCAAGTTACCAGCCAATTATATGGACTGGTAAACTTGAGCAGGGCTAGTAGAGGCTGGCACCCAGAACTCTGGGGTTACCCTGACACATTGATTCAAGGCTGAAGCAGCTAGATTTATAGAATACCAGCAAAGCCATGGGGTCTTCTCACTGTTGCCATAGGGCTGCCTGATGCTAAATAACATCCTATGTGAAACTTCAAAAAGTTTAATGTAAAGTTACCAATGACCCAGCAACTCCTCTACTAGGTATATACCAAAAGAATCAAAATACGTCCGTACCAAATCTTGTACATAAACATACAGTGCAAATAACAGCAATTTTCATGGTATTCAAAAAGTAGAAACAACCCAAATGTCTATCAACCAATAAACGGAGGAACAAAGTGTGCCTTAGCCCACTTTCCATGCAATGGAACAATATTTAGTCATGAAAAGAAATGAAGTACTGATGCATGCTACAAGAAAGTTGAGCCTTAAAGACACGTTACATGAAAGAAATTAGACACAGAAGGCCACATATTGTAGGATTGTGTGTATGAAATGTCTAGAATATTCAAACCCGTAGAGGCAGCAAGTAGACAAGTGGTTGCCTGAAGCTAAAGGGTTTGGGGTTTAGGGAAAATGAATACTCAATGGGTACACATGTCCTTATCAGGGTGATAAAAATATTCTAGAATTAGAGTGTGATGGTATTTGCAGAATTCTGTAAATGTAAATAAAAGTGACTGAATAGTATAATTTAATGGGTGACAACTATAATATGTAACTCCACATCAATAAAACTGTTGTTTTAAAAAGTACTGTAGAAAACCCAGTTAAACACAAAAGAAAAAAAGGTCTCCTAAAGTATGTCCTGGTTGTAACTGTGTAAAGAATTTCACCAAAGAAGGGGATCTTTTAGGTGGGGTCTCAAGTAATGCACATGTGGCTAGAGTCAGGCAACAGCACATGGAGAGGGCTGTAGAATTATGTTTCATGGGAGTTACGGGAAAAACTGGTAATATTGGGCACAGAAGTGGGCCTGGGAGATGTAAAATGATGAGACAGGATGAGGAACATGACAGAGATGGCTGTGCCAGGGACTCTCTTGGGATTACTCAGTAGGCAGGTCTTTGACAATTTGACTCACACTAAATTTATGCACAGAACAAACCATAATAAAGATGATCTATCCTGGCACAGCATTGGTGGGTACTGGCAGTGATTCCACCAATTTCTCTCATGACTGTGACTGTAGACAGGTCACCGATGCTCTTTGTACCTGTATTTGGTCATGTGCATAGCAAAGATTTTAGAGATATATCTACCTCGATAAGTTGTTTTAAGAAATAAATGGCAGCCGGGCATGGTGGCTCATGCCTGTAATCCTAGCACTTTGGGAGGCCAAGCCGGGTGGATCACGTGAGGTCAGGAGTTCGTGACCAGCCTGGCCAACATGGCGAAACCCTCTCTCTACTAAAAATACAAAAATTATCTGGGCATATTGGCAGGCATCTGTAAGCTTAGCTACTCAGGAGGCTGAGGCAGGAGAATCCCTTGAACCCTGGAGGCGAAGGTTGCAGTGAGCCAAGATTGTGTAACTTCACTCCGGCTTGGAGAACAAGGGAAACTCCATCTCAAAAAAAAAAAAAAGAAAGAGAGAAAGAAGGAAGGAAATGTCAATATACATGCAAAAATCAGAGCATACTGACTAGAATATAAAAGGCACCCACTGGAGATGAATTACTTTGCCACCATCTGACCCTCTATTCTCTTAGGTTTTTATAAACCTACAAAATCTAAGGCAAGAGGCATTTGATGCTTTGGCTGTTTTTGTCTTTCAGAATTGATATGTATACGGAAGGTATGGCAGATTTGAATGAAATGATCCTTCTTCTGCCCTTATGTCGACCTGAGGAAAAAGATGCCAAGATTGCCTTGATCAAAGAGAAAACAAAAAATCGCTACTTCCCTGCCTTCGAAAAAGTAAGTGAAGCTGTTCAGCATTTTGGGGCACTGAGTTTAGAGGCCAGTAGAAAAATAGTGGCTGGGCATTCCTGGGGCACTGACCTTTACTTTCAGTGAGACTTCCTGAACACCAATGCAGCTCTCTGACTCTCAAGGCATTTTATGAAAATTGACTTAGAGGAGCAAAGATACCACTTATCTCCAAGTTATAATTTTCCAGCAAAATTTCAATTTACTAGACTCCAGTATAGAATTCTCTATTCAACAAAATTTTGTTTGTAAGTAGAACGTGGGCTGTGGAAGGCTCTGAATCACATAGAGGTTGCTGTTGAGTCTATGGAACATATGGAGAAATGAAGACTCTGAAATAGTCTACTCCTGGAGGAAGAGTGCTGTCATGAAGGTGGAGTCATTGCCCAAGACAGATTGGAGAGGGAGAGAGCAGAGTGTAGAGCCACATCCTGAATGTCAGGGCTACACACTGTAGGGCCTGGGGCAGACAGAACATGCAGCAGCAGATGCTAAAACCCTGGCCCATGTGGAAAATGCAAGCAGGGTGGGTGGTGTGGATGCCACAGTGATGCGGAATGAGAAGAGAAAATGGAGCCTGGGCTCCAACCCAGGAGTGAGCTAGAGCCACATTCTTGCTCCCTCATTCAATCAGGGAACATAAAGGCCTGGACCTTCACACCATCCAGTTAGGCCACACAGGTGGGAATGTCAGGCTGGAAAGACTCAGGGAGAAGCAGGGGTCCCAGCCTGGGTGGGCATGTGTTTCTGATCTGATGTCTCAAATTCTCCAGGTGTTACAGAGCCATGGACAAGATTACCTTGTTGGCAACAAGCTGAGCCGGGCTGACATTAGCCTGGTGGAACTTCTCTACTATGTGGAAGAGCTTGACTCCAGCCTTATCTCCAGCTTCCCACTGCTGAAGGTGACCCATTTCACAGCCTTCAGAGAGGCAGCTCCACATGTCCCATCTTGGGGTCTAGTATCTGGGTCCTTGGACTGGCCATGTTCTGACCCCAGCCTTTTTCAGGCCTTCACTACCCCCAGGTCTCCAAAATGAGCTTCCAGATTCCAATTTTGAGGCATGAAAGACTCCTGTTATGGAAAGGAAATTTGTGGTGCATGCTACCCCATGAAAAGTATTTTGCCTTTTATCATGGAAAGGACCCAGGGCCCAGCATCTTCCTCCCTCCCCCATTCCTCTGTGGTCTGTTCCTGAGTTTTCTGTGATGCCCTTTTTCCCAAGACTGTCCTTGTGTTCCCACACTGAGTTAGTCTGAGAGGGCCCTTTCCATCTGGTTCCTTCCTTAGGCTCTGGCCAGGGTGGCCAGCAGGAGCTGTCAGATAATTGTGTTCCTCTGTGCACAGCTCACCAACCACACTGCCCCCAACCCTGTATCTATCACTGAGAAAAGGTGGTCCCATGGTTTGACTTTAATATTTTCTATAACATTTTACCTTCTAACTAATTTCTCTGTATTTTCACTTCTGCTTAGAGACTGATCTGTGTTGATATCTCTTGGGCACATTATTTTTTCTTGTCTTATACAAGATTCACTAATCTACAGGATTAATATTTAAGGAGAAAGATAGGGATGACTGAACTGATTAAAAGTTTAAGACATCTTTGGGGAAAATAAAGTGAGCTACATGTCCTTCCTCTTATCTTCATTTCTCACTGGGTGTCTGTTTCTGCCTCCATGCTGGTGCTGATGGAGGGGACTTGCTTGGTCTTTGGCAGGAGGGGTCAGATTCCCTGGGCGGTATAAACGGTAATGGCAGGCCCTGGCTTCACTCTGAGGCTGTGCTTTGTGAATTACAGGCCCTGAAAACCAGAATCAGCAACATGCCCACGGTGAAGAAGTTTCTACAGCCTGGCAGCCCAAGGAAACCTCCCCCAGATGCAAAAGCTTTAGAAGAAGCCAGAAAGATTTTCAGATTTTAATAAAGCAGCCATGGAGGCCAAGAACATGCAAGACCAGTATTCTAAAGTTTGCAACAATGAAGTGCTTTACTTAAGTGTTGACTGTGCCTCTTGTAAAGCTAATGAACCCTTTCCAATTACATGCTAATTAAATAATAAAAACTCCTATTTGCCAACTTAGTTAAAATTTAAACCTTTTCATTAGGATCTGATATGAATTCAGATTTCTAATCTCCTCCTAACCTGTCTCTTTCTTGAAATTAAAAATTTAGTAAAAATGTGAAATGTAGGTTATATGATTTGTTTGACTTTTACCAAGAATTATCCTGTAACATTTGTCATACAATCTATTAAAATGTCAATGTAGAAATGCGCTCCTGACATTTTCAGGTATGCACAGGAGAAGAGTTACCATTCTGGGGAATGGCATAAAGACATTTTCTTCTTTTCCTGGACAGTCATTTTATTTCTGATAAAAGCGTTCTTCCTCCTGCATTTTCAAAACAACGATTCTGTCTGCTGTGGATTCCTGTTTTCTAGGAGGTGAGGAAATATTGAAGAGCAAACAGACCCATCCTCTGCTCTCAGGCCACCCTGTTGTCCCTTACAGTGTGTGTGCTCCTGGCTCATCCTCACACTGCTCCTTAAGGCTCTGTGGGGACCCAAGCATGAACCTTCCCTCAGTTCCCTCAATGCTACTCAGACCTGGGCTGCCAAGATACAGATGGTATATGTGAATTACATACAAATAACTATATGCAAAATCATTTTTCCCTAGTGTGTCATTGTGCCAGAATGCTTCGATTAGGAGTGCTTTCTAGTTTCAGCCCCTACTGGGCCTATAATGTTACTCTCTCCCAGGACACCTGGGCTCTGCAATTTGAGTTCTCCTGTTAGAGTGAGCTTCCCCACAGTTGGCAGAGGTGGGTGAGAGAGCAGACAGACACACAGGCTTTCTACCGGCAGCTTCACTTTGCTCTAGTCTCTTCTCCACTTACAACCAGAGTAGTTTTTCTGAAATGCAAATCTGAATATCACAGAATTCTTCAGTGAGTCCTGACTGCATGTAGAATGCATCCTCACACCCATCCTCACTCCCTGATCTTCAGCCCAATCAACCCTCTGAGCATGGTGGGGCCTCCTGCCCTCCTGCCTGGGTGCATTTGCTAGCCCTGCCTGGCAAGCTCCTTCCCAGTGGCCACAATTAAGTCTACCCTGTTGCTTTTCAGGAGCACTGGGCTGTTCTCTGTGCCCTCCTCACAGCCCCATTGAGCCTCTAACAACACCTGAGGGCCACTGTGTCTGCTCCCCTGTACTGTGAGCGCAGGTATGGGACACTTACATGAACTAGAATGCTGAAGCTTTGATGAATCTAGGAAATTATAGAATTTTAATATGATAAGAGAATTGTGTGATCATGTTTCAACAAGTAGTTCTTCCTTTCTAGAGATAAATACTAGTATTTACCAAAGAAATGATATGCTGTCTGGAAATTGCTTCAAAAGAATCCCTTGGTAGTGGGAAGTTTGTACTGTTTTATTGTGGCTCTTGTCACAGATTCCTACAAACAAGGTGGCTTGAAACAACAGAAATTCTGAAGGCCAAGAAATCTGAAGTCAGTGTGTGAGGGCCACATTCTTCTGGAAGCTCTAGCGAACAATCCTTCCCTGCCTCCTACAGCTTCTGGGGGCTGTTGGCATTTCTGGACTTTCTTGGATCTTGGCCACATCACTCTACTTTCTGCCTGGGGCTTCCAGCACCTCACCCTCTGCGTGTCTGTCTTCTCTGTTGTGGGTACACTTCTTATTGGATTTAGGGCCTATTTAGATATATCGGGATGGTCTCATCTCAAGTTCCTTAACTTCATCTGCAAAGAGCCTTTTTCCAAATACGGTCATATTTACAGGACCCAGGGGTTTGGATATGGACCTATCTTCTGTGGGGGCCAACATAACCCACTGCATGGTGTAGATGAAGAAAGGTTTTTGTCAATTGGTGAATCCAGGTCATGGGTACTTTCAACTTTGTTATGTTATTCTGTCTACTTTTGTATTTGCTAGAATTTTTCCATGTAAATTAAAAAACTTTCGTATTTTAGGAGCTCCTACAATGACCAGGTTTTGTGCCAGACAATGAGGAATGGAATTAAACAAGGGGAAGAAGGCTTTTCCCTCAGGAGCTCAGGGTCTAGTGAGGAAGCTGATATTGAATACGTCATGTGAAAACTGCATAGGGTAAGAAGACACAGTAGAGAAAATACCGTAATAGGTGAAAGTAGTGCATTCCAGTCAGGACAATTACCGTGTGCAAAGGCCCAGAGGTCAGGAAGGATGACCTGAGTGATGCAGAGAGGAAGGAGTATGCAAATAGGGTGGCTAGATTTGGCAGATAAAATACAAGACACCGAAGTAAATATGAAATTCAGATGAACAATCAATACTATTTTTGTATAATCATATTACCTACAGTGCTTGGGACATACTTATAGTAAAAAGATATTGATTATTTGCCTGAATTGCACATTTTCCTGGGTTCCCTGCATTTTATGTGGCAACCCAGTAAGAGAAGCCTTCCAGAGGGCCATCAACCTGCCCTTCACAGACATCCCTTCCCAGCTATGCTCCCAGCAGAGATTTCTCATCTGCCTTAGTCCTTACATTCAAGTCATGAAAAGTGAGCATCTGCAAAAAGCCAGTTTCTGCTGACTTGTAAAGAGAGCAAAATCTGCTGAAATGTTTTGTTAAACTTTTATTGCCAACCCTGAAAAGGAACATATTAACCAGTTACCTTGTGATAAGAGGATGACTTGCCATTTTTCTTAGAATCTAGTAGGCAGTCCTGTGACCCTGAAACTTGTGGGAGTGGCTTTTTGCTAAATTGACTGTATCTCTTTCAATGGGAGGGAGCTATGGAAAGGAACATGTAGCTTATAAACGCATTAGGACCTTAAATTAAGCTGTTGAACTATGAGCGTGACAGCCTTTAACAAACTAAGCACTGATCTTGTAAATCTTCTCACACTGCCTCATATCCTCTCATCTAGGTCACCAGAAAAATACTTTTAAATGTATCCTTCACACAATAAAAACAAATCTGTTTAACACTCACATCAGTGCCTTCTTTGTGTGCTTGGATGAGAGTTCGAGTTGTGCATTCAGCTGCTTTTGGATACATTGTGTCAACTCAATAAACAGAAAGAGACTCTAAAATAAAAGATATTTATTTGGGAATAAAGTTTTGTAATGAGTAAATTACATAGTAAACCACGCATATACTTAGGGAGATAAAGGAAGACAAAGGTTTTTTAAGAAAACAATGAAAAGGATTAAATAAATTTATAAAATACTTATCATTCACTACAAATGTCAATAACAAGGGTGACGTCAGGCCAAGTTTGAACTGGCAGTTGCTGGTCAGATGTCCTTGCAGAAGTTTTTTGTATAATGCTGTGATAACCTTTGTGCAAGATTATGTTTTTTGTAACTTTTTTTCTTATCTGACATAAAAGAATGAAAACCTTCTCTTCATGGCTTTTTCAGCTCTGTTTGTCAAGGTTTTCTTAACATTAGTAACTTCATTTTGTTTCTGATAATGTTCAAGATCATTACAGAAATGTAAAAATGAAAAATTTATAAAACTAGGGCATGAGTATATAATAATAGGAAAAAAGTTAATGATCTAAGGTAAAAAAAAAAAAGTGATGGTGCCATTTTAGATAATCTGAGAATATGAGCAGTGCCAGAAGAAACACAGGTGTTTGTGCCAAAGTTGCTTTCTCTAGACAAGCAGTCAATACACCATTGTTGCGAATGAAAATTTGGCAAGATCACAGACCTGGGACTCCCAATGACCAGTGAAAGAGACATGTATCTGCACAGTGCCACGTCTGCAGTTGTTTCTCCAAATCTCCATCTCCTGCTGAGGAAAGAGCCACCAATACCTACCAAACACAATTGTAATTTACAACTTGATGGTAGATATCACACACATTCGTGCTTGCTTCCGGAAGTGCTTTGTGATTTGTTGCCAAGTGTTGACGCCACTGACTTTTCAATATTACTTTAAGGTTGTTATGCTCCAAAGGGCAGGCAAAATCTTCTGTGAGGCACTGTGTAGAACTTGCAGGTTAATCTAAGTCTGTAGAACGTTTAGTTTTATAAAGCAAGATGACCTAGATTTATGATGAAAAAAATTAAGAACAAGAATGCCCTTCTTGTGAATTTTTACAACCTGATTCAATGATTATTTGTTAATCCTTGTCCTTTGCCCAGTTGAACATTTGTCCGAAAACCCGGCTCTTTCCAAATTCCTCCTTCCTTACTCCTTCTGTGCCTACTTAGTGGAACAATCCCATTTCTTTAGTAATTCTGCTTGAACTGCAGAAAATTGAGTCTGACAATCAGGATTGGTTGACCCATTTTCATGATTCTATTATTTAATTTTTCTATTTAATTTTTTCTATATTATTTAATTTTCACATCAAGCAAGCTCGAAAGTGGAAATTGGAGAAATCTCTGTGACCACTAAAATGTATAGCAGTGCTATTCCTATTAGAATAAATTAGTCTCTGAATGTCAGGAAAACTAGAATCTAATTTAGTCTTTGCTACTAATTAACGGGATGACAAGTCACATTCTCTCTCTGGGGTTCAACCAACTCATGACAAACCTAGAAAATAGCTAAGAAAAAGTCTCTCACCCTTGGCATCCCTTGGGTTGGGTAATTATTTGTGTGCAAGAGCTGCCTTGTGCATGAGAGGACATTTCAAGGCATCACTGGCCTCTACCTACCTGATCTTGTAGCACTACGTACCCCCAAGTTGTGACAACCAAAAATGTCTGCAGACATTGCTGAATGGGATAGGGGAGTAAAATCTCTCCTCGTTTAGAATCACTTGACTGCATGACTTTTCAAAGTGTTAAAAGTCAGAAGTCCTGATAGGAGAACTACATAGTCATTCGAGCGTACAACTAGTTTCTAAGAAGTGCCAAAAGGCATCTGACTAGAATGTATGATGTCATTAGAGTACAAGAGTCGACGACGGCCTGGAATAAATGTTTAATATTGAGGGGCAGGAGATGTTATAAAAGGAAGACCAGGAGTTTCAGTGAGATCCTCTTTTTGGATCCAGATTTGAGAGCTATGCAAGCTATAAAATAATTCACAGGAAAGAAATACAGCACCCATGTGAGAAGATGCTGAAATGAGAGTTGCAAGAGGTTACAGAGAGCAATGTGTAAATACAGATGAGTGATCCTACTTTGAAGGGTAGGAAAGCAGACATCTGGGAGGTACAAAATCCACTGAACCTGCAGATTGAGATGCTACTGTGGAAAAAAGGAGCCCACCTGGGCAGAAGAGACTGGGTCCTCAGCTTTTTCTGAGTCTGGCAGCATTTTCCCCTTGCTCTGATTTGCTTGGCTAAGAGAATTATGATTCTTGGGTTGGAATTTTCAGGAACCCATTAAAATGAAGTCACTGCTAAGCACATTCTGTTCTGTTAGTTGTCCACAAGCCTGTTTTTTTCTTTTTTCTTTTCTCTTTTTTTTTTTTTTGAGACAGTCTTGCTCTGTCACCCACGGTGGGGTACAGTGGCATGATCTAGGCTCACTGCAACCTCCACCTCCTGGATTCAAGTGATTCTCCCACTTCACCCTCCCTAGTAGCTGGGACTACAGGCACATGCCACCATGCCAGGCAATTTTTTTTTTTGGCATTTTTGGTAGAGGTGAGGTTTCACCATGTTGCGCAGGCTGGTCTCGAACTCCTGGGCTCAAGTGATCACCTGTCTCGGCCTCTGAAAGTGTTGCAATTAGAGGCAAGAGCCACCACACCTGGCCCCACAAAGCTATTTTTCTGACTAGATTTAAACCCTTTAGAGTAAGGACCAAATCAGACCAAATATTTTTTGCTACAAGCCATCATCATTGCTTGAGACACTGAAACTGTTTTTAAAAGAGGCGAATACTCCAGAAACAAGGAATTGAGAAAGGATCAGCAAAATGTCTGCATTTCAGGTAAGTAACAGGATGGGGTAGAGAAGTGACTGTTTTCATCAAGTATTAAGAGTGAGAACCTGCTCAAGAGCTATGAATAGCTGGAGAGAGGCAGTGGGGCTCCCACATGCATGGCTGGAGTTCATGCAAAGGGGGCCTGGCAGTAGGAAAGGCTCAGACTGCCCTGAGCAGGGGGTGAGTGGTAACTGGGCCTAGTCTGAGGAGAGAGGCCCACCAGGTGCAGGGTATGGGAGTCTTTTTCTGGGATATAAATTATCTCTTTTTCATAAAAAACAACCTGGGAACCAGGGGTCTGCTGCAGTCTAGGAGTTAAGCAAGACTGTGTTAACGACGGGTCAGGCCTCCTTGAACCTTCACTGAAAACTTCCTGTTAATCCAGTATATTAGTCTGTTCTCATGCTGCTAATAAAGACATACCTGAGACTGAGTCACTTATAAAGTAAAAAGGTTTAATGGACTCATAGTTTCACGTGGGTGGGAGGCCTCACAATCATGGCAGAAGACGAAGGAAGAGTAAAGGGACCTCTTACATGGCAGCAGGCAAGAGAGTGTGTACAGGGGAGCTCCCCTTTATAAAATCTACAGATCTCGCGAGGCTTACTCACTATCAGAACAGCATGGAAAGACCCACCCCCATGAGTCAATTATCTCTCTCTGGGTTCCTCCCGTGACACGCGGGAATCATGAGAGCTACAATTCAAGATGAGATCTGGATGGAGACACAGCCAAACCATATCACCCAGGTTGACTGGATTAGTGAATATCATTAACCTCTGTACAGGAGCTTTATAGAAAAGACCCATTGTATGACTTCTTTGGAAAAAAATCTGGATATACATAAAATCTTTTTTTTTACCAGAGATTGATGGGTTAAGAGAGACAGAGAGAGAGAGGGGAGACCCCGGTACTACCCAATGTGTTCAGAGAGACTCATCCACATCCCAAGAAGTGGGGGTCGGAGGACACTGTCATTACCCGGTTCCCATTATGAATTTTATGCACATTATTTTATTAGTCTGTTTTCACACTGCTATAAAAAATACCCGAAACTGGATAATTTATAAAGAAAAGTGGTTTAATTGACTCACAATTCTGCATGGCTGGGGAGGCCTAAGGAAACTTAACAATCATGGTGGAAGGTGAAGGAGAAGGAAGTACCTTCTTCACAATGCAGCAGGAAAAGGAGAGAGCAGGAGAAACCACCGCTTATAAAACCATCAGATCTCACGAGAACTCACTATTGTGAGATCAGCATGGGGGAAACCGCCCCCAAGATCCAATCACCTCCACCAGGTCTCTTCCTCAACATGAGGGGATTATAGAGATTACAATTTGAGATGAGATTTGGGTGGGGACACAGAGCCAAACCAGATCAATTATTTCATTTAACTTTCTCAACAGCCCTCAAAAATAGGTATGGAAATCCCTATGTTTTGTTTGTTTATTTTAGAAAGAATCTCTCTGTGTCACCCAGGCTGGAGTGCAGTGGTGCAATCTCAGCTCACTGTACCTCCATCTCCCGGGTTCAAGAAATTCTCCTGCCTCAGCCTCCCTAGCAGCTGGGACTACAGGCGCCCACCACCACACCTGGCTAATTTTTTTATTTTTAGTAGAGATGGGGTTTCACCATGTTAGCCTGGCTGGTCTCCAACTCCTGATCTTAAATGATCTGCCCATCTCGGCCTCCCAAAGTGCTGGGAGTACAGGCGTGAACCACCACACCTGGCCAACAATCCCTATTTTGAAAAAAGAAAATTAAACTCAGAATTCAGAGAGCCTGCTGAGTTTATGAACCCCATAATGGAAGGAGTTGTGGTTTATCTCAGTCTACCTTCTCTCTGACAAGAAACAGTGTAATTAGGACCACCCAGAAACCTAACTCTTTTAATTTACTACTGGGATTATCATAGGTTATATTTCTTTCAATACAAGCTCATTTTCTAATTGAGGTAAATACACTAGTCCTCAACTCACTCAGGTTTTTAGGTTGTCATATCAGGGAAAGGCACAGTTTCATTAATTTTTTGTTCTAATCAAGCTCCTGAAAAGTTGCTAACAGAAAGGAACTCAAGATTCAGATGTTTGTCTCTTGCCCTCGCCTTTAAACCTTTAGCTGGCTAATGGAGTCTGAATGGGAAAATATGAAACAATTTCTCAGACAGAAGCAGAGCCAGCTTATAGGGTGGAGTGGAAAAGCTCTGGACCTGCAATTAGAAGGAGTTCAGGCTGACCCAACAGGCACCACGTGTGCAGCGTGGGCCAGTCGCTTTAGCTCTTGAACCTCAGTGTGCCCATCTTTCATTAGGATATTAGGAGCCATTTCCCAGGGTTGTTGCAGAAGGTAGACACACTCCCTAGGTATTGACCATGAATGAGGAGCACGTGTGTGTGACTCATGGCAAACCTTTGAGCCTCTCTGGTTCTCAAATTCTGTTCACCCAGCCAAGCTCTGCGTCAAGTTTGTCCCAGTCTTGGTCTGGCTTTTGGAAACCTCATATTGGGAAGGTGATATGTTACTTATAAGCAAGAGCATTATGATAAAATGCTATGTAAGATAACAATTCATTTCCCTTTGAAACATGATCCTCAGTAATGGCTAAGGGTACAAGGGTGCGACTTGAGTCACTCTGTGAACTCTAGTTGATAACAATTAAACAGACACACCCACTCTCTGGGTGAGGTTCACTCTCCCTTTCCTTCTGCTGAATCATGCTATTTGCATTTCCAATGAGAGGGAAGTGCAATGTGCAAAGTCTCTAATTACAAGACAGATGAGTTGATTAAGTATGTTCAAAGAGTTCTTTACTTTCTAAAAGTTAGAGTGAGTTCCACATTTTAAAATGTAGATATTTAAGAGATTTTGATTTCCAAATTCAAGTCATACATACTTTTTTAGAAATACATCTGTTGGTAAAGACAAGTATATTTTTGTACCAATATACCAACCTTGACGACCACAAAAATTTGCAGGAAGAATCTTAATATTTTATTACAGAGCTGGGGGTTTGGAGAGAAAATCCCACTGTTCCTAAGTCCTGGCACTGGAATGCCTGCTTTCAATGAGTCTTGGGTGTTTCCATTCAAACTCATGATAAAATTATTTATGGTCTGTCCCGGTAGACTCGGTTTTCACTCTCTGATACTCTGCTATGTTCCACCTCCCAAGCAGGCTAGGAGAGAGCAAAGGCTATCAAACTTCCTTGACAAGCCCCGATAAATTTATCTCTAACCATTTGCAATGGCCAAAATGAGCTGCACGCATGCAAACATCCATACACATAACATATATATAACTTAAACTAAAAACTCATGAAACATTACTTACTCTTCAACATGTCATGCTCTCTGGTATTTTTTATTCTTTTATATCTTACTTTTAAAGTATTGGGTTTCACAGTCTGCTGAAAGATTACCATGTGTATTTGAGAGACATTAACACAAAAAATAAGTCCCAATCTTTTTTTTTTTTTTCTTTTTTGAGACAGAGTCTCACTCTGTTGCCCAAGCTGGATTACAGCAGCCTCTACCTCCTGGGTTCAAGCGGTTCTTGTGCCTCAGCCTCCTTAGTAGCTGGAATTACAGGCGCGCGCCACCATGCCTGGATAATTTTTTGGTATTTTTAATGGAGACAAGGTTTCACCAATGTGGCCAGGCTGGTCTCGAACTCCTGACTTCAGGTGATCCACCCACCTTGGCCTCCCAAAGTGTTGGGATTAGAGGTGTGAGCCACTGCACCCAGCCAGTCTTTGGTTTTGAATAGCAATGGATTTGAATCCCAGATCCACCACTTACTTTGGGCAAGTTACTCAAAAAATCTCAGTACTCTCAACTGTAAAATGACATTAACAACAGCACTCACCTTAGGTGATTTTTGTAGAATAAAATGAAGATAAATTTGTAAGAATGGCCAGTGTGTGACTGACATTGAACAAATGCCAGCTCCTTCCTTTCCCTGCAAAATTAATGCAGCATCTCTTTTTCCAGGTTATAAAACAAAATGCACCCTATAGAGGTAGAAAATAGAATTCTAAGAGAATCAAGAAAATTATGATTCTCTGTCTGTTAAGAATTTGGATCTCATAGTTACAGTTAAGCAAGTCTGAGGCCCTATTTCTCCCTTTGATCAAACGTAGCTGTATTAGTCCATTTTTACACTGCTATAAAGAACTTCCCTGAGCCTGAGTAATTTATAAATGAAAGAATTTTAACTGACTCACAGTTCCACACAGCTGGGGAGGTTTCAGGAAACTTACAGGCATGGTGGAAGGTGAAGCGGAAGCAGGCATCTCTTCCCAAGGCAGCAGCAGAGAGAGAGAGAGAGAGAGAAGGGGGAACTGCCCTTTATAAAACCAAGAGATCTCGTGAGAACTCACTCTCAGGAGAACAGCATGGGGGAAACCGCCTCCATGATCCAATCACCTCCCACCAGGTCCATCCCTCAACATGTGGGGATTATGGGGATTACAATTTGAGATGAGATTTAGGTGGGGACACAGAGCCAAACCATATCAGTAGCCTAACAGCCAAAGAGCTGAAGAGTGACTTTGCTCCTTCCTGGTCCTCCTTGTCATGATATCCTCTGGTTTCTTCGTCACTTACTGGGTTCCCAGGGCCTTCACCTAGGTGGGTTCCAGATCTGCCTTCATTTTAGTGAAGTGGGTGTGGATTTTCATGTTTATCACCACCTAGAGTGTGATTGTGGACATTGCATTTCACTTCTCTGATGTTCCATTTCATTAACCAAAAAATGGAGATACTAATAGGTATTTCATGGGACTTAGGAGGATTAAAGATATAACATATTAAAAGGGACTAGCATTGGGGAAGTATCACCAGGATGTTTTTAATAAATATTACTTCTTGAATTCTTCCTCTTCCCGCTACCTTCCATATATGCATTATTACCACAAGCTCTCACCTCTTAGCATGACGAGAATGGCTACATTTAACCAATGGGCACGTGAGACTGGTTTGCTAGAATCTGAGGGTGGCCACCGATGGGTAACAATTTGGGCCAAGAAAACATTCCAGGAATTCCTCCAACCCAGTCATGAAGAAGGCAGGTTCATCTTCAGTGTTGTTGGTGGTTTTCAACCATACATCCTAATGAACATTTTTTATTCTATGGCTTCATTCATTCATTCATTCATTCATTCATTCATTCATGCTTAGAGAAACCTCCAGGAGTCTGCTATCATGGTGGGAAACCCAAGCTCTACTACCACAATGGACGGGGCAGAATATAGTCCATCCGGTGGTGCCTAGCTGCAGCTGGAGTACAGGTAGGTTCTGAGAGGTCATCTTAAACTGGATCTAAAATTGACCTTATCAGATACTTTTCCCTCAGAAACGATGAGATGTTTCTTACTAAATGACTTGTCAAGTGTTGTACCTTAAATGAAAATTGGCAGTTATTAAGAAAAAGATGATGAATTTGATCTAATAAATTGTTAAAATATCTTTTCATCTAAGAGCATAAACATTAAGATACATTTAAGAAACTAATCAAAATGTGTGAACCTTAACTGAACTTGGATTTAAACAAACTATAAAAAAAATTATGGCATTTATATAACAGAAACATAAATATCGATTGAATATTTGATGTCATGAAAAAATTATTGTTAATGTTTCATGTGTGATAATGTACTACGGCTATACTTAAAACCATTCTTCTGTTTTAGAGAAACACATTGAGGTATCTAAGAATAAAATATATGGTATCTGGGATTTCCTCACATCATTACAAGGAGAAAGTGGGTGGGCACGTAGGTGAAAACACATTGGCTTTAGTTGGTGTAAACCAAATATAAAATTCTAAGCCTCTTCCCCAGACGCAGCCATCTGAATGGACCCTCTTCTCAGCAAGGGCATTACTAAGCTAACCTGAAAAACCAGTTTAGGCCATGATGGGAAGTGGGGAATTGGACATGCCCTCCTCTCTTTTGGAATTACTGATAGAACAGACTCTAAGTCTGATAAGAAACATAACTTTCAATGGTAAAAACCGTAATTACTTTTGGACCAACCTGACACAATTTATTTTCTCTGAAGCCTGCTACCGGGATGCTTCATCTGCATGATAAAACTGGTCTTCACACCCCTGTATTATCCTAACCCAGATATTCCTTTCTATTGATCCCAGGTCTTTAGATCATAACTCTTTCAATCAACTGCCAATTGGAAAATTTTTAAATCTACACAAAACCTGGAAGCCCACACTTCCGTCGTCCTGCCTTTCTGGACTGAACCAACGTACATCTCTATAATTGAATGATGTCTCATGTCTCCCTAAAATTAAGCTATATCCCAATCACCTTGAGTACACGTTCCCAGAATCTCCTGAGGACTGTATCACGGGCCATTGGTCACTCATATTTGGCTCAGAATAAATCTCTTCAAATATTTTACAGCGTTTCACTCTTTTCCCTAACATTGATAATCATTGATTCTATGTGAGGAGTATAAGAAAGGTCATTATACTTTTGTGTTATTTTTATACATGTTAGAAATTTATACAATAAGAGGATAAAAAGGCATAAAATTAGAAAGTGAATGTAAAGTGAAACTGCATACTCACCTGATAAAGACTCAGAATATTAATTCAATGATTACGTTGTTGTGCACCTACTAAGTGCCAGATTCTGTGTGAGGTTCTGGAGGTAGAGAGTGAACAAGACAAACTCAGTCTCTGCCCTCGGGTAGCCTATATATCTATAAGAATGGAGACAAGTAAACAGGTGATTAAAATCAGGAGCTTCCAGGAGAACACCCAAGCATTCCTCAGTGTTACCAGATCATCCAGCCAGCTTCTGAGGAGGAAATGCAGGGAGGTGTCTCTGGGATTCCGTTGAGTGCTGCCCTCTAGAGGTGTCACTGAGAAAAACACTTCCCAGTCCGGACCAGAGTCCCTCAGTAACTGCCTGAGGGTTTTCCGGAGTGAGTCTTGGACAAACTCAGGAGATCTTGTCCCCTGGATGGTAGCAGAAAAAGAGGGTTTCAGGTGAGGTGGTGTCCTGTGAGGGGAACTTCCAGTGACCCCCTTCAGCCTTACAGCGCCGTGTGGACCTGAACCTCGGGACGGCACTTTCTCCATTGCTTCACGAAGGCTTGGGACTTTAGCCTCACCCTTTCTCAATCCTACGAATAAACAAGCACACAAAAAATCCACACACTGTCAGGTTTTTTTTTTTTCTTTTTTCTTTTGTACAAATGAATACCTCGTTTCACTGTTACCCAGACGTCAGCTCTGCAGCTCAGGGATACGTTCAGAGCCCGGGCAGGAAGAGTTCAGCAGGAGGGAGGGAGGGGCAAGGCAAGGAGGAACCCAGGCTCCCTGGTCTCCTTCCAGTCTGACTTGAAGACGGGGGCAGGGCTCACTGCAGCCCTTGCTCAGGCTTCTGGGGTCTCAGTGCCCTAAGGCTGATGATCACAACCCAGTCCTCAGCCTCACAAGCACATCCCACTTGCCAACCCCACCCCACCTCTGTCACCCTCCTGCCAGGACCACCCACCATTCCTAAGGTTTTTCCTGAACTGGACGCTGGATTAATTGCTGGCACACCCTTTCTGCCCCCGCCTACCCCCCCCCCACCCCGCCCCGCCCCGCCCCGCCCCACCATGACCTCTAGATCCTGGTCCTGTGTGATCACAGATCCACAACCAACTCTGTTCCACGGAGCAAGCTAGAAACCCCCAAATTCCTGACATTTCACCATAAAGAAGTCTATTAAGGCATAATTAGCCACTTCAAACACCACTACTGTTTATTACTTGATGTATGTGGGTCCGGCCCTGTATGATACATTTTGAAAACATTAAAACATTCTGTTAAGAAAACGTTCTATGCCCATTTTGCAGATGAGGGAACTAACGCTTAAAGATGTTAAGTGCTGATTCCCAGATCACACAGCTATTATGAGGCAGAGCCAAGATTGGAACCAGATCATATTAACAGTGAAATCCTGAAAATCTTTGTAAGTATCTGCTTTAACTTTTATTTTTATAGATTCTGCCTATTAAGTCAACTGCATCATTATGTAACAACTGATTTTCATATTTATATTAAATACCTGCATCCACTCAGAGTTTCTGATCAGATTTAGACAACCTTGCTGGCTGCCATTCCAGCCATCTCTCAGAGTTGCAAAACGTGTATTTAATGAGCATTTATTATATACCTGCTACTTTTCCAAGTGCTTTGCATGACTTTGTAATTTAATTTTCATACCAATCTTTAACAAAACCATCATAAGTATATCCATTTCATAGGTTAGGATACTGAGACACAGAGAGATTCAACAATGTGTCCAAAATCAAGAAGCCAGGACATGAAAATAGTGATATTAAACCCACACAGCCATATCATAAACCAGAGATTTTCATTAAAAATAACATTACTGTGGGGACCCTAATTCCTTCCTCAAGTTGAGAATTCTACTCTATTGTGTTCCATTTACTCCAGGAGGGGAAATTATCGTTGCAAGAGTTAAAGTTGTGCAACAGCAGGACCTATCTCATGCTTAGTAGGGCTCCTAACAAGTGGGGTGATATAAACTACAACAGAGGTTCCTTGGTGGCAGAATCTTTGATAGTTGTTAGCCCATTGCATAGCCCACACTGAGGACACAAAGGCTGTGGTCTGATCTCACCCGGAGACACATGGTTTCCTATGACATGACAACACCGAAACTAGAAGAACTGCCTGATCCCTTAACTCCAGTGACATCCTCTCTCAAATCATGACCTAATCACGGACATGGGAGCGATCAGGGTGTACATGAAGTGAACTAAAAGATTGAGTGGCTCTGTGCTGTGATCCATGCCTTTTTCTTGATGAATCTAGTCTAAATTTCCCAATGGCCATGACCAGACCCCTCTGTGTGCACTGCCAAACTCAGAAATCTTATAGCCTCCAAATTGTTTACCAGACATTAGCCATTCAAAGTTAAAAGTCTATAATGCTATGGAATGACCTATCAGGAGCCCATTTACTGACTCTGCTTTTGGTTTGAAGAGAAATTTCTAGAATCAGCAGAAGATCCGGAAAAGTTAAGAAATGGTAAGATCAAGTCTCTACATGTCTCTGACGAAGGTATCTAGTAGAAAGTACACTTGAAGGTTTTAATACCAGGCAGTGTCTATGTGTGTGAAAGGTGGTGGTTGGGGTGGTGGAGAGGGAAAAAAGTGGTTAAAGTAGAAAGGGTGGGGCTCCTTGAGCAGGTCTGTCAACTCTCTCCAGGTTAAAAGGGCCAAACCCCTTAGAGTATTTGCTAGAGGAGCCATCCCCAGCGAGTTGAGAATGGCCTCTCCTTGCTTTCATGCTTTCAACACTGTGAATGAGCTGTGGTTGGTTCAGGATCCCACATACCCCTCCCCATCTAAGGACACGCACGGACGTGCATTGGAGGAAAGGAATTGAAACAGGTCCATCTTGAATTCATTTCTCTTATTAATTTGACAAGGTGATATTCTTGCAACATTGTAGGCTTAGATGATGAGACAGTGTTGAATTGGTTGGAAGTCCAGGTCAGAGGGTGAGGAGGGACATGAGCCAGGGCAGCAGCAGTAGGGTGAGGAACACAGCACCCACCCTGCGCACACTGTCCAGTGGGGGTATTAAAGAGCACACAAAGGGCCTACATAGAAACTTCTCTCAGAACTGTGTTTAATGTCTTTACACCATGAGATTTACTTTGAAAAATTCCCATGTTAAATGGCGTCTGACTGGTGGGCTTGCAGCAACCTCTCCCAACTTCTTCCTAAAATATCCATGAAGATACACCAACACAAAAAATACAAGGGACCTATGATGTATCTGGAAGAGGAATAAAAACATAAATGAAATAACACGTTAGAAGGCAAGAGGAAGATTAATAAGAAAAAGAAGGACTACAGGAAGCTAAAAACAAATTCTATTTCCTTTGAGAGGTTATACCAGGCAATAATTTCTGTTTTATAAATTTAGTCATTTCAGTGAACATTTCTTCATGCTGAAAGACTGGGATTCATAGACATCTCACTCTCCTTTTTTTTCCTTCTTTCTAAAGATGGAAGTTTGATGTTCCAGCAAGTGCCAATAGTTGAGAATGATGGGATGAAGCTGGTGCAGACCAGAGCCATTCTCAACTACATTGCCAGCAAATACAACCTCTATGGGAAAGACATAAAGGAGAGAGCCCTGTACAGTATATTTTCTGTTCTTCCATCCACAGAGAACACAGAGCGATTTAGGTCCTTCCTTGAGTGGGCGGGACCGTGGCAGGGGCATTATGGTCAGCAACAGGCTGGGCCTTGGGCATGTATGCTGAGGTGCAGTATTCCAGAGTCCCATCTCTCGCCCTAGGCATGTCTTTATCTTTTCAGTGGCTACATGATTTGAGCCTCCAAACTACAAAAGAGATTTTTTCACCCAACCGTATGGATTAACACCTAATGGGAATAAAGAAAACCTAAAGTCACAGTCAGTACTCTGCCCCAAGTAGAAACTGTAATCTTCTGCCTGGATCACTGCCAATTTCAAAGAATGACAAGAACAAAAGCCAAGAGTGAAGAACTTCTTTTAGTTTCAGGGATGACCCACAGAAGAGTTTGTACACATGGACAGAGGTCCAGTGAGAACCTCAAACTCAGTGTACGGTGAGATTGTCTTGAAAAACAGGCTTCTGGGCCTATGCCTATGTGCTGCCTCTTTTTTTTTTTTTTTAATGACAAACAACACTTCTTGATAGCATGACACAAAGCAGTACCACAAAAGACTGAAAAGAAACAAACAGGCAAAAAAGGCCTGGTTCTATTAAGGATGGTAAGCAGATGGGAACCAATAAAAAACCAAGGTCCAAACTGAGAATAAAAAGTGAAAGAGCTCAAAGCAAAGAGAAAAGAGTTCAGCCCAGGTGCAGACTTGCCACAAGGCACAAGGAGCCTTTGTGGATACTGCACCTGGTTGAAGGCTGGGGTCCATGGCAATGGGCAACATAGACCATGTCTTGTCACAACCTCCAGAAAAACTGTGAAAGTGAATGAAGACAACCCAAATGAGAATAAGCAAAAGGTGTTTATTTTGAGCTTGCTATAGTAAGGAAGTCAGACACCATCACTTGCATTTGCCAGAGATTCAGAGGCAGTCGGGAAAGTCTGAGAGATTTATGGTGAAAAAACATATGTCCTGATTGCAGGTTGTTGGCATGAAGATGCTATAAGCTGGCTAACTAGAAGCATTAATTTCTATGTGATTGGTCAGATTTACTTTCTGTGTTTGGTCATAAACTGATAGTGGAGGCAAAAATTAGGAAAGTTGGCAGTTATTGACCAAATGCTGGCATATTTGAGTGTTGCAAAGGTCATGATGGAAGCTGTTTAGTCTATAAGGGCACTAAGAGGTAGAGGGTGCCTTAGCAGTTTGGCTGCTATAACAAAATACCATAGACTGGTTAAAGAACATATGTTTCTATCTCACAGCTCTGTAGGCTGGGAAGTACAAGATCAATGTGCCAGCAGATTCCACATCTGGGGAGCGCCTGTTCCTTGGTTCATAGACAACCAATCTCTGACTGTGTCCTCACATGGCAAACATGCCAAGGGAGTTCTCTAAGGTCCCTTTCATAAGGGGACTAATGTCATTCATGAGAGCTCCACCCCATGACTCCTGAAGGCCCCACCTACTAACAGCATCACATCGGGGGTCAGGATCCCAACATATGAATTTTGGGGAAACATAAACATTCAGTCAATAACATAAGGCAACAGAGAAATAGTGCCTGTGCATTTGTGGGACATTGACCTTCATGTCCAAAAAGCCTTCCTTGATGTTAATTGAGCACTTGACTCTCAAGGCATGGTATAAAAATAGACTGTCAGGAAGAATTTCACAGGTTCTACCAAAGAGTCCCATGATACATGACTCTGAACTATGTATGCTACAATATAGCATTTGATGTTGCATTTTCTTTATGTATCAAGTAATTATTTACACTTAGATATATATACACAGTCTGAAAGGGTATTTGTCAAAATGTTACCTTAAATCAGTGATGTTGTATGTTTTCTCATTTTATTATTTATAATGTGAATGTGCTGAAATATTTTAATAAATATCACATATCACTAAAAATTTTGTTATGAAACATTTTATATATTCACAATAGTTGAAAGAAATATTTTAAGACCAT